ACAATACTATCTTCTCAGTAGGGCAGTATATTCAAACCAGATCTAAGCAAGACCGCCTACTACAGATGTTACTAGCACATGACAATAGGAAACCAACAAATAGATCTATTATAAAGCGTAGTAATAAGATCAAATTAGAAGCTGCGGAAACCGGACATACGGTCGAGCGAGGTAACAGGTCCATCAAACTGTACCTGAAGCAATGTGTCGAAGAGAAATGGCGGAGTAAGCCTCTACACGGACAGCATATCCGTCAAATGGAGGAGCTTCCGGTTGACTTAAGACTGTCATTTGGATGGTTACAATACGGAGATTTATAAGGGGAAACCGAAAGCTTGCTGGTGGCAGCACAAGACCAAGCCTTGAAAACGCGTTACATTGAGCAAGCAATACACAAGACGAGGAATGACGGTAAATGCAGATTGTGTCACATTCATAATGAAACTGTTGAACATGTAATATCTGCATGTCCAATACTAGCGCCAAAAGAATATACTGACAGGCACAATAATGTCTGCGCAGCCATCCACCTAGAAGCGTCTCGCCACCCCTTGGTTGTCCAATAAAATCGACGAAATGGTATGAGCATCACCCCGACAGAATAACACAAAGTGAAGATGGTAGTATCACAATAATGTATGACCATCCCGTTATCACGGATAGAGAAATAAAAGCAAACAGACCAGATATTGTTATAAAAACCCCGAAATGTGCTATATAATTGATATATCGGTACCTGCAGATAGACATGTCATACAAAAGGAGGCTGAAAAGCAACTAAATACAAATCATTACTCATAGAAGTGCAAAGAATGTGGCATACAAAGGCAGTTGTTATTCCCGTAGTGATTGGTTCAACTGGATATGTCACTCGCAACATACTAGATAACCTAAAAAGGATACCAGGAGATCATAATTTCTATCAGTTACAGAAGATCGCCTTATTAGGCACATCGCACATAATTAGGAAAGTTATAACATAACCAGCTCAAAACTACAAAGATCTGTACCCCTCAGGTCCTCGGCGAGGACCCGGTGTAGAGGTCAAACCGCTCCATATAAGATACCGCTACTAAGAGACAACGGTCCTGTAGCGTGAAAAAAAAATGAAATAATAATAATGATAGAATAATAAGAAATTATTATTATAATACTAATAAAAATATAATAATAGTAATAGTAATAATAATAATAATTATAAAAATAATAATTACAATAATATAATAATATAATAATAATATATAGAATAATTACAAAATAAATAATAATAATAATCATAATAATAATAATAATAATTACAATAATAATATAATAATAATAATAACTCCCGTGTGGAGTTGCTAGTCTCCCATCGGGCGCCTCCCTGTGCGAATTGGGAAACGCTCTCCAGATATGGAGGGTACGAATAATAATAATTATAATAATAATAATTACAATAATTATAATAATAATAATAATAATTATAATAATAATAATAATAATATTATAATAATAATAATAATTATAAAAATAATAATACAATAATTATAATTAAAATACAATAATATAATAATAAAAATAATAATAATAATATTGTAATAATAATTAATAATATAATAATACAATAATTATAATAATATATTAATAATAATATAGAATATAATAATAATAATTACAATTATTATAATTATAATAAATAATAATATAAGGGTCTGGCCGGTAAGGGGACTGCCGCCAGCAGTTTCAAACCCGCTACCGTAACGACGTAGACGGTACAGCCAGCAACGCAACGTCTGGCCTCGACCAAGTGGTTGAGCTACTGTTATTAACACCGAAGGAAAGTCAGTACGGCCAGCACACCTCCTGTTCATCCAGGCGTGGTTTTTGTCTCTCTTCCACGCCTGAGTTTTAACACTTTTAGGTAAACAATTATACCCCTATCAAAAGAGACCACAATTACCCAGAAATGGAGAAAAAACAAAATGAAGCCTCGGAATGTAACGACGTAATCGGGACTCGACGCTATGCGACGAGGTCCGCGTCCGGCAGGGAGCGTAGGGGAAGGTCACACCCGGTCGTCATCCAGCGAAAGCCCCCACAGATAGTGTGAGAAGTAACTCGAATGACCCCATCCAACAGCTTCCTGGGGTCGAAGATGGCAATCATGTTGCTGGAAGCCAAGAGCCCCAGCCCATAATGCCAGACAATAGGAGGAGAAAAAGAACCACGTGGACCACTGAAATGAACAGATTGTGGTTCGCTCCTACTACAGAATAACTAAACTAGAAACATCTACAGAGCCCTATGGTACTGAACTACAAACAAGTTATCATGAACTTCCCTCACCTGCAAGGCAAAACTGTGCAAAATACTAGACCAGCGCCGATCCGTATTCATAAACAACAGATTGCCGGCAGAGAGAGATAAACAAAATAAGAGAAGAGATATCCATAGAATTAGGAATGCAGGTACAAGCTCCGCAAGAGCACACAGAAAACCAAGAACAATTGAGGCAAACGACGGCAAACCCTCTAAATACGCAGATGAGTTCAGGGGGCTTGTTTCATGAGTATGATGGTGTGGAACCAGCTCTAAACCAGCCTACCAAAGCTAATAATAAAACCCCATACATCTGAGTATATCGCTGAAGTTAACAAAGTAATAGATAACGAGATTACAGAAGATACAACCTTGACTGAGCTCCATAGCATGTGTGTACACTGGAGCACTTACAGTCCTAAAATTAAATGACAGAGAGTTGGCGAACAATGTGTAAGGAAAAACAAAAAACTGCCAGCCTGGGAGATGAGGATATCGCGTAATATAGAGGAGATTAGAAAGTACATAGCATTACTCACCCAGTACCGCAGGTCTGAATATAGTCTGAGAGTAAAGAGATCCGCAGAGAATGTGATAAACCGTCACTGCTCGGAGGAGAACCCAACAGTTGTAGAAGTCTTGGACTACCTGAAGCAAAAACTAGCAGCTACAGCACTGCGACTTTTCGAAGGTACAAGAAAAGCAACGAACGCCGGAAACAAAATCGAGCATTCGAGACCAATCAGCGAGGCTTTTACAGGAACTTGCAGGTGCGACGGAGCGATACAGATCAGAACAACGTTCAGATTCCTACCTCAGATGCCATCAACACCTTCTGGTCAGGAATTTGGAGCAATCCAATCAATCATTCCACATCTAAATGGTACCGAAAAGAGAAAGCAAATAATTCCACTTTTAGGACCATGCTCGACTGGAAAGTAAGCTTAGATGACGTGGTAAATACTTTACGAAAATTACCAAACTGGAAAGCCCCCAGGATCAGATAAGCTTCAGAATTATTGGCTAAAAACGTTCACTTCGGCTCACGATCGACTCGCAAAGTGTTACACCTCAATCTTAGAGCAACCAGATATGTTGCCAGAGTTCTTAACAATGGGAATAACATATCTAATCCCATCCCGTCACTCGAACGATCCGGCAAAATACCGACCAATCACCTGTCTGCCGACTATTTACAAGGTATTGACTGCTATAATTACTGAAAAGATATATTCGCACCTAGAGCGGAATACTATACTAGACGAAGAGCAAAAAGGTTGCCGAAAAGGGTGTCGAGGCTGTAAAGAGCAACTTGTTATAGACTCTGTCATAACTAATTATGCCAAAAAGAAAAGAATATCCCTGTACATTGCATACATCGATTATCAGAAAGCGTTTGACAGTATACCTCACTCTTGGCTGTTAGAGGTGCTTGACCTTTATGGGATCGAGTGCCACATCAAACAATTTCTGGCACATGCTATGGCGAATTGGAAGACACGGCTCTATCTCAACACCCAAGATACGCAATTTAGTGCCGGAGAGGTATCCATCAAGAGAGGAATATTTCAAGGAGACTCTTTAAGTCCGCTATGGTTCTGCTTAGCGCTTAGACCGTTAACATCAATGCTAAATAGCCAAAAGAAAGGAATACTGTTAGGTGGCAATGAAACACGCATTTCACATCTTTGGTAGATGGATGACCTCAAACTTTTCGCAGAAACCAAAGAACATCTTCATAAGCTTCTGGACTGTGTAAGTAAATTCAGCACTGACATCAAAATGCTGTTTGGCTTAGACAAGTGCAGGATCAGTTGCATGGTAAAAGGCCAATGGAGTAAACATTCAGGATATGAGCCGAACCAAGTGCAAGGGAAAATTGAAGGAATGCAGCAAGATGAACGGTATAAATACTTAGGCTATCTACAAGCGCCGGGCATAGACCAGAAAGCTGCAAAAGAAAAGGCAATGGAGCACTATAGAACACGTTTGAGGGCAGTGCTGAAAACAAGTTTGTCAGCTCGTAATACAGCACTTGCTGTCAGCACCTACGCTACTTCGGTCCTTACCTACACGTTTGGCATACTGAACTGGACGGATACAGAACTGAACGCACTTAATGTGGAAACCAGAAAAGAATTCCGTAAACACCGGGGACACCACCCACATAGTGCCATAGAGCGGTTCCATCTACCACGAAGTGAGGGCGGTAGAGGAATACCTTGCATACCTACACTACACCACCGCCAAGTGGACAATCTACGCCAGTACTTCCTCCAAAAAGCCACATCCAGCAGAATGCATCAAGCAACAACACAGACGGATAAAAAGTTGACACCACTAAACCTTTCAGAAACATCTTTCAACCCTGAGGCAAAGATAACCCCAATGCGGGATCTGGTTTGCCAATGGAAAGCCAAACCACAACGCCATTGACACAAAGGCTTCCCAAGGATGGTTGCAGTCAGGTAATCTGTTCCTGGAGACGGAGGGCTTCATAGCCTCCATCCAGGATCAGGTAGTCCCAACAAAGTTGTACCGAAAGCGTATAATGCATGAGAACGTTGAAGATATCAGATGCCGCATATGTGGGGAAAAAGATGGGCACATAGATCATATTGTAGCAGGCTGCTCTCCCTTAGCTCCTAAACAATATCTTGAAAGACACAATGATGTGGCCAAAATACTTTATCAAGCTTTGGCTAAAAAACATCTAGGAGAAACTGGTACACAGCCCTACTATAAATACACGCCGCCACCTGTGATAGAAACGGAGACCTCTAGGCTGTACTGGAATCGCAAAATCATAACTGACAGGCCCATCCCCAACAATATTCCTGACATAGTGCTCACACTAAAAGAAGAAAGAACGACGTTTATAATAGACATAGCTGTGCCTCTTCCTACTAATATCCAAACCACCCATGCGGAAAAGATCAATAAGTATTTGCCACTCTCCGACGAAATAAAACGCATGTGGGAAATGGGCAATGTGTCTGTAATACCAGTTATCATAGGAGCTACTGGAGAGATACCAAGGAAACTACACAAGAGTCTGGAAAAGCTACAGCTCCATCCAAAAATATACTTGCAGTTGCAGCAAGCTGCACTTCTGGGAACATGTAGGACAGTACGTAGGGTTTTAGGAGATGAGAACCGGATACGGCGAAAAAAACCGCTGCAGATCTATTTCCTTACTTTGGCGGTTAGCCTGAGGAATATTAATACCTTCGACAGAGGAGTAAAATAGTATAAAATAATAATAATAATTATTATTATTATAATAATAATAATAATAATTATAATAATAATAACAATAATTTATAATAATAATAATAGTAAATGTAATAATAATAATAATAATAATTATAATAGTAATAATTACAATAATAATAATAATAATAATAATAATAATAATAATAATTATAATAGTAATAATTACAATAATTATAATAATAATAATCATAATATTAATAATAATAGTACTTATAATAATTATAATAATAATTAATAATAATAATAATAATAATAATAATAATAATAATAATAATAATAATTATAATAATAATAATAATAATAATAATAATAAATAATTATAATAATAATAATAATATAATATAATAATACTAACTCCGGTGTGGAGTTGCTAGTCCTCCCATCGGGCGCCTCCCTGTGCGAATTGGAAACGTTCTCCAGATATGGAGGGTACCGGGAAAATAAAATACCCGGGGTGGACAAAAACTAACACCACCGCTCTATGGGTTAGCACCCCCTAGAACGTGTATATTTAAATGCTCTTAAAACGAGAAATAAGAGATACTCAGGCGGGCCGGCGCAGCAGGAGCCGGGTCGGAACCGTCTTGAAGATTTACCTGCAACCTACCGCGGCAATGAACAAGGACCAACCAGATTACCAACCCAGACGAGTACACCACCACCAAAGGTACCAAGCCAAGATGTCGGTGTTGCTGGGCCATCAGAGCCCATGCCCACCACGTCACAAGTTAGGCAAAGAACCATGTGGACAGAAGAAATCAATGCATTCATGGTTCGCTGCTATTACAGATTAACCCGACTAGAAACCGCCAAAACTCCATACAGCCGCGAAGTACATAGACTGGTAACTGAAAAATTTCCAATGCTTCGTCACAAGACTATACAAAATATCATAGACCAGCGAAGATCTATATTTATAAATAGACGCCTATCTCCAGGTATTGTTACACAAATAAAGCGCGAAGTTGCGATAGAACTATCTATAAATGTACCTGCTGATCTCCCCAATGCTGATGATGAACCAGCGGCCCCAGTACCGGAAGCCAACAGATCACCATCTGCTGCTGAGCTGGTATTCGAAAGGATTCATTTGCTTTATGATGGAATGGACCCTATGGTGAAACCTAGCCTTCCCAAAATAATTTATAATAACAAGACAAAATCTATATTGGGTGAAATCAACAAAATTCTGGATTCCAAAATAACAACTGATATACCCATCGAAAATCTGCACAGCCTTATTTATAGTGGAGCAGCAGCGGTGCTAACACTAAACAAGCAGAAAATCTCCACGGACACTCAAGTTAAAAATGTTCCAGTAACGCCAGCATGGCAGCGCCGAATTACTAATAAAATCGATAGTATCAGGGGGGACATAGGAATTCTGACACAAAATCAAAGCTTGAACCCCAGCAGCTCAGTCACTAAGAAAGCCAAAGCCATTCTTGAAAGGGAAGAAAGCCTCGAAAATCCAACAGCAACAGAAATACTGGATCACCTTAAACAAAAACTCAAGGCTATGGCTAAAAAACTCCGACGGTATAAGGAAAGCAACACAAGACGTCAACACAATAGTCAGTTTAGCAGGAGTGAAAGGAGCTTTTATAAAAATTTAGAGTCTGAAGATCACGAGATTGAAACCCTGCAAGAAAATAAGGTCCCCACACCAGACGCCATGAAAACGTTTTGGGAAAAAACCTGGGGAAACCATGTGATTCACAACAATAATAATAGTAATAATAATAATAATAATAATAACTATAATAATAATAATAATAATAATAATAGTAATAATAATAATAATAATTGTAATAATAATAATAATTATAACAATAATAATAATTATAATAATAATAATAATTACAATAATTCAGATGGCTGTCTGACGAGAAGAGGTGTACATCTAACCTACAGACAATGTTGGAATGGGAAGTAACAACCGACCAAGTATCCAAGGCTATAAACAAGACCTTGAATTGGAAGGCACCTGGACAGGATAAAATCCAAAATTTCTGGTATAAAGAATTCAAGGTCATTCATCAACATCTAGCCAAATGTTATACTCACCTGCTGTCCAACCCTGAAGAACTACCACCATTCAGTGGTATCACTTATTTGTTACCAAAAACGAAGGTGTCCTCAGAAGAGCCATCCAAATATAGGCCGATCACCTGCCTTCCTACAATATATAAAATATTCACGTCCATCCTATCGGCAAAGATATACAGCCACCTGGAAAGAAATAACCTGTTGGACGAAGAGCAGAAGGGTTGTCGAAAAGGATCCAGAGGGTGTAAAGAACAATTAATAATAGATACGGTCATCACATCTCACGCGAAACGCTCAAAACGCTCTTTGCACACAGCGTATATAGACTATCAAAAAGCGTTTGACAGTGTTCCTCACTCCTGGCTATCCGAGGTGCTGCAGCTTTATAAAGTCGAGGCCCATGTACTGAATTTACTGAACTACGCCATGTCTCAGTGGAAAATCAGAATTGTCTTAAACACCAACCAAAAAAAGTGTAGATGCAGGTACCATTAAAATAGAAAATGAAATATTCCAAGGGGACGCATTAAGTCCGCTATGGTTCTGTCTGTCGCTGCGACCCCTGACAACTATGTTGAATAGGCAGCGCAAAGGTTATATACTGCCACACTCAGACAAGAATATTAGCCACCTTTGGTACATGGATGATTTAAAGCTGTATGCAAAGTCTAAAAAACACCTTGACGACCTTCTGACTTGCGTCACCCGATTCAGTCGCGACATAAAAATGTCATTTAGGCTGGACAAATGTAGGACCAGCGGGATGGAGAAGGGCCAGTGGGTACATCACGCGGGATATGAAGTTGCTGAGCGGCAAACCATCGCCGGAATGGAAGAGGGAGAAAGGTACAAATATCTTGGATATCTGCAAGCAAGAGGTCTAGATCATACAGCAGCAAAGCAGACAGTAAGTGACACCTACATTAAAAGAATCCGGTCGATACTGAAGACTAAGCTGTCTGCCAGGAACATGGCAAAAGCAGTTAACACCTATGCCACATCTGCAGTTTCTTATAGATTTGGAGTGATTCACTGGACAGCAACCGAACACAAAAACCTCAATATCAAAACCAGAAAAAAGTTCAGCAAATTTCGAGCACATCATTCACGTTCATCATTGGAAAGGTTCCACCTGCCTAGAAAGTTGGGTGGAAGAGGTATACCTGATCTAGTTATTAACCACAACAGGCAAGTAACAAACCTTAGGAACTACTTCCTCGCCAGGGCTGCGTCCAGTGAGATTCACCACGCTATCATAAGGGCGGACAATAAGGCTACTCCTTTAAGACTGGCAGACCAAAACTTCAGGCTTAGCGTGGACCAGCTCATACCCGAGCAACAACTGCAGCAATGGAAGAATAAGGCACTTCATGGTAAATACCGCACCCTACTCGAGAGCGATAAGATCGATACCTTCGCATCTACGGCCTACCTCCGCTCTGGAAACCTGTTTGCTGAGACAGAAGGGTTCATATCTGCTATCCAAGATCAGGTCATCGCAACTATGTTAAAGTATATAAAAGAAACATAATGCGGGAACGACAAGACAATATCAGATGTCGTGTGTGCGGTGAAAAGGATGAATACCTGGACCACATCATCGCTGGCTGCTCAATGTTGGCACCGAAATCCTACCTAGACAGGCACAAAAGAGTCGGAAAGATAATCCACCAAAGCCTTCGTGAAAAGTACATGGGGTTGACAGAAATAGTGCCGTACTATTTATACGAGCCGCCTGCTGTGTGCGAAGATGAACAAACCCGGCTCTACTGGAATCGAAAAATTATAACTGATAGACCGATAAGTAATAATATACCGGATATCGTGCTCACTCTAAAAAATGAAAACAAAACATACATAGTAGATTTCGCTGTGCCATTGGGAGCCAACCTAGAAAAGACACATGGACAAAAAATCAATAAATACCTACCCCTGAGCGATGAAATTCGCCAAATGTGGGACATGGAAACAGTAGTCATCATCCCCATTGTGATCGGAGCAACTGGAGAAATACCTAAAAAATTAAAAACATCACTGCAACAACTAGGATTACCGTTTGAATTATACTTACCTATGCAAAAGTCGGTCGTCTTGGACACATGCAGTGTAGTCCGTAGGGTTTTAGGCGGTAACTAGAACAAGATGTTTTTAACATCAGCATCTAACGGGCCATCTTGATTCAATACCGATGTGCCAGCGTTCTTAACCCAGGGAAGCATGTGAATCAGTTAGATGATTAACGAATAATAATTATAATAATAATTATAATAATAATAATAATAAGCATAATCATAATAACAATAATAATAATCAGAATAATAATAATAATTATAATAATAATAATTACAATAATTATAATAATAATAATAATATTAATAATAATAATAATAATCATAATAATAATTGTAATAGTATAAGTACAAAATTAATAATAATAATATTATAATTATATATATAATTATAATAATAATAATGATAATTATAATAATTATAATAATAATACTAATAATAATTACAATAATATATAATAATAATTATAATATAATTACAATAATTAGATTAATAATATTAAATAATAGTAATAATAAGAATAGTAATAATAATAAGAATAATAATAATAATAATTACCAATAGTATAATAACAATAATAATTATAATAATTATCATAATGATATGAATTATAATACTTATAATAATAATAATAATAATAATAATAATAATAATAATAATTATAATATTAATAATTACATAATATAATAATAATAATAATACCCCGCAGGGGGTATCTACTTTTGGAGCTGGATCTTTGATCCGGTTTCAAAGGAAGATACATGGGGAGCGTCGCCCCCACGGCCCCAGGCAGGGAGTTCGGGGTTTGGCAGTCTTATTCATTCTGCCAAACCCTGGGCTTATCCCCCCCTCGTTCTCCCATCCTTTCTCCTTTTATTATATCCTGTGCAGCTGTCTGTTGCTCTCCCGACTTTCCTTCTCCTATCCTTACCCCATGCGTTGAGGCGGCGCGTGGAGCTTCCTCTTAGCCTCCCGGGTGTTTGTGCCGTGCCCGGCGACCCGTAAGCTGGCCAATGGAATCCTGGTGGTTGAACCCTACCAGTCAGGGGGGCAACACGCCACTTTGGTCCGGCGGTCAGTCTAGAAGGGCGGCCGCGCCTAGCCCAGCGTCGGTCAATCGGCTGTGCCATCCCGTCAGAGGGCTGGTTGGGCGAGCCTCCACAGGTAGTAGAAGCCAGACGGGAATAGTTCGCTATTCTCGATGTATGGTGGAACTACCTGGGGGGACTATACCTTCCTTTCCTTCGGATTAGCGGTATCCCTGGGGTTGTGCCTTAGCGGGATGCTATTATGGGCATAACCTCCCAATGAGGCTCCGTGGAGGGTGGGGAGCCGGGAAGGTGAAATTTTTGGAAAATCTTATGGAACAGCCTAAACAAGATTCAGGTGCACCCACTACCTTAAAAGTGGGCAGTGATCGGGATTCACTCGCAAAAACCCAAAACACCCCTAAAACTGGGATTTCAACCGCGTCAGCGGCCAAGATCAGCCAGGGAAAGGAGGGAAACATCCCCCGGTTCCTGGTGGTCGAAAGAATCGATGGGGGCAACTTCGATAAGGTTAGCCCCTTCTTGCTGTCGAAATTGTTATTTGGAATTGTTGGCGAATTGAAATCAATTAAGAAAGTTAAGACCGGATTATTAGTGGAAACTGTTACCGCTCATCAAGCATCTAGACTCCTTAAAGTGACTAAAATAGGCGAATTCATTGTTGAAATAAAACCACATAGTACACTCAATTACTCAAAGGGTATAATCACATGTGCAGATTTTCTTAACAGTTCTACCGAAGAAATATTGGAGGGTTTAGAACCAGAAGGTGTGGTCGAAGTTAAACGTTTGATGCGTAAACAAGGTGACTCACTTGTCGAAACGCCTAACTTATTATTGACTTTCGACAAACCTAAACTACCCTCAAAAGTTAAAGCTGCCTTTTACTCTCTCGAAGTGCGTCCTTATTTCCCAAACCCCCTAAGATGTTTTAAATGTCAGAGGTTTGGGCATACTTCGCAAAGATGCCCAAATTCTGAGATATGTATATGCGGACGACCCAAACATGATACAACACCTTGCGACACACCTATGCATTGCGTTAATTGTGAAGGTGAACACGCAGCCAATTCAAGAGCTTGCCCTAAGATGAAGGAGGAAATAGCGATTCAAAAAGTTAGGACTATGGAAAAACTGAGCTATCTAGAAGCAAAGAAAAAAGTAATCAGGCCCATTCCTCAAAAATCCTACTCCGAAATTGCGGCGACCACAGTTACGTCAATTAATAATATAATAAAAGAGTTATTACCGCAATTAACTAAGTCTATTGAGAGTAAAATAAAAGAAACCCTGGATAACATAATCAGTACCAAGAAGCATAATTTTAATACTAATTCCTTCTTACCTCCCGGTCAATATTTTTCTGATACATCTACGCAACCTTCTGTAGCCGAAAAAAGGAAGCGTACCAGAACCCGAACAAGGGACGATGATACCGATGAAAGTGTATCACCACATATCAGTGAAGCATCAACTTCTACTAAAAAGAAAAGAGGCTGGCCGAAAGGGAAACCCAGGCTGCCTCCCAACTCCGCAAGAAGTGATCAAGAAACTGAAGCCAGTCAAATTACTGACCTTACCATTGAGATATAGCCACCTGTGATATTTTCTACATAAATTTTATTATATATTTACGTTCGTATGTGTATGTATGTATGTGTGTATATGTGAGTACATCTGATCTTATTTATACATATACTATATATTTTTTTTTCTATAGACTATTTATATATTTTACTTATTAAGCTATTTATTTATTTATTCATTT